GTTTGTTTCTAAACTCGTTCTACTTGAGAGACCGTCTGAATATAAACTTATTCTACTTGTGACTCTTTTTTGTTATACTTGAAATTAAAAAAAGTAGGGAAATTGTTAAAACATCGCACAATCGAAACCGAGTAGAAATTTCAGTCCTTTGTAATTAGTTATTAAGAGTAACGGCCCTTCAAAACTGCTTCAAGCGACCGAAATCGATATCACAATTGTTTTCAAGCCCTGAAATCTGACAAAAGACGCCGTCTTTTAATTAACCTTATGCATTTTTGCGTGTCGTTTGTGCAATTGGTATTATTTGAACGAAAACAAAGGAAAGAAAGAGAGCGAAGGAAAGTAAGAAAAGAAAGTGAGAAAATCAAAGGAAACAGATAAATGTTCAATTAATTTCGGACGCTGACTAAAATTCAATTTTTATACAAAAATAAAATATACGCGATAAGACATACGTGGAGAAATTAGCCACTTTCTAATGCGATCAATCTCCTAAAATCAACATTGTTCTCGTTAAAATCTCCTTGTAAATATTTCGTAACAAGCAAACGTGAAATATACCAACGAAAACCATTTTGTTTTGCTGCATAATTAATTTTCCAGAGTCAACATTCTTCTTATCAATCTGCGTGCAGGATCTTCTCATTGAACGACACTTTATTAAAAAAAAAAAAAAAAAGAAAAAGAAAACCGACAAAAGCGACACTCTGAACCTTCAAGAATCCAAATAAAAGAAAAAGAAAATACAGATTTATTAAAAAAGGGAAAAATTAAAATTAACTGAAAATTAAATATCTATAGAGTACATACGGGGTGTTTCCGAAAGCAGCTGATTCCACGTGGGAAAATAAATTTTTCTAACGGATTCCAGACATTTCGGGAACACCTTGAGAGTTAAAACACAACGCAATTTACCTATTTCCAGCATCGGAAAACACCGAAAACCTTTGAAACTGGCTGTTATAAAAGAAAAAAGAAATCATCGACTGACGCGCGTTCGTTTCTGTCGTTCAGGTACGTGGCGATCTGTCATCCGTTCATCTCGCACACCATGTCGAAGCTGTCCAGAGCGGTGAAGTTCGTCATAGTGATTTGGTTGCTGGCTTTGTGCCTGGCTGTGCCGCAGGCGATCCAGTTCGGCGTGGTTTACGAGTACAGCAACGGCTCGGCGATACTCGACAGCGCGCGATGCGCGGTGAAGTGGACGCTGATCGAACACGCGTTCGAGATATCCACCATGCTGTTCTTCGTCCTGCCGATGACCATCATCATTGTCCTTTACATACTGATCGCCATCAAGCTGAGACGATCCAGACTACTGACAGCCACGGTGAAGAGGAAGAACCTGCCGGCTGGGCTGAATCACTGCGACAGCGGCAGAGGGAAGAGTGCCGCGCAGAGGAACGTCATTCGGATGCTAGGTGAGTGGAACGTGCTTGTTTTGATGAGACGCTGGTTAAAATAGGAAGCTAAGTTTTTTTTTTTTTTTTTTACGTGGAAGAAATCTTCATAAGACACTTGAGTCTTTTAAGGAAAGAGTAGTGTGTT